TTTAATGCGAGAGGGACGAGCCCCCCCCGCCGCGCCGCGCCGCGCCGCGCCGCGCCGGCCCGAGTACAACACGGGGAGCGGGGGCCGCGAAAAGGGCGCTACAAAAGGGTTAAAAAGTGAACCCGTCCCCAATAAATTAAACCACCGCCGCGCCCGCTCTGCTCGGCTCCTGTCCTGCGCCCCGAGCCCCAGCGCCGCTCCCCTCTCACGCGAAGCAGAGGCCCCCGGGGTCACGCCGACCCGGCCCGGGCCCAGGGCACGGCCCCTTGTCAGCTCCATGCCGTCCCCAGGGACCGGCTGGCCGTGGCACCATCCTGGCAGGGCTGGTTGCTCAGTCGGTGGCATAAGCTAGAGGAGCCTGCACGGGAGCAGCAGCCCACTGCCTGCGGGCTTGGGCCTGGTTGCCCCAGCACTGTGATGCACGGGGCCGTGCGAGGAGCTGGGGCCGGACAGGACTCAGCGGTGGCTGCTGCAAACCCTGGGGCAGGGGCAGACCAGGGCTGTGGCCCTCCCTGCGCCAGTAGGGCCCCGGCAGCGCTGGCTTCCCTGGGCCCACGCAGCCAGAGCCCTTCAGAAGTGGGGGGCCGTGCTGGGGTGGCAGAGGTGCAGGCGCCCTGGGGCGAGCGAGGCTGGGGCAGCCCTGGAACAGGGGTCCAGAGGCAGCCAGGCCGGGCTGGCATCCACAGGCCCTGGGGGAGGTCGCTGTGCCCAGCCCTGGGGAGCCCCCTCCCCCAGCCGCTCACCTGGGGCCGGCCGGCCAAGTAAAGCGAGCCACAAAGCAGGGCCCCAGGGCTGGCTTCTCAGGACACAGGGTCATCACCCCGCCAGGGCTGCCAGGGCACGGCTAAGTGCAGGGTGCCCAGGACCAGCTTGCACAGAGTGAGGCCGATGGGAGAGACATGGGGTGGGGGCTCCCAGGTAAAAGGCTCTTCCCAGGGCCCCAGCAGCACACGGGAGGCCTCGGGGCCCCTGACTGCCCCCAGCAGCTGGACAGTCCTGGCCCGGGGCCCTGAGCTAGGAGCCGTCAGAGCCAGCTGCGCTCTCACCTTGTGCCAGGCTCCAGGGCACTCCCTGGGCCTCAGTGGGGCAGGGGCAGGAGCAGGGCAGGGGCCATGCAATCCAGCGCCCAGGCCTCGGGGGTCTCTCCAGGGCGGGGAGAGGATGGCCCCACTCTCTCTCCCTTTATTAACAGCCCAGTGGGGCCCAGTCCCCGCGTGGCTGCAGGCAGAGCTGTGGGCACTGTGCCAGCGGCGTTACGTCCCCAGCGGCAGGAATGTGACGTTGCCCTCAGAGTCCAGGTGCATCTCCCTGTCCCCCTGGCTGCCCCCGCGGCCCGGCTCTGGGGGGGCGCTGCCCTCGGGTGGCGAGAGCGTCCTCAGCCCAGGCCCCCGATGGTCAAAGTTCAAAGCCTGCTCCTGCCGGGCTGGCGCGCTGCGGTGGGGGCTGCCATGCCCCGGGGGTGGCGAGTCCTGCCCGGCAGAGCTGGCCGACAGCAGCTCAGTTTCTGTAGATTCAGAGTCATCCATGGGCAGCGTCTTGGAGTTGCTGCCACTGGTGTCCTCCTCCAGCGGGCTCTCAGCCTCCTCGGGCTCCGACTCGCCCTCCTCCGCCAGCGTCAGCTCCAACTCGAACTTGTCTGGGCTGGGTTCTGGAGCCTCGGGCGGGGGCGAGGGGCTGCGGGGAATCATGCTCTGGTACCACTCCCGGTTGTCCTCCAGCGTGTCCAGGATCTCCTGGGCGTCTGGATGCACCAGGTCGGCCCAGGTCTCCCATAGCGGGTGTGCAATGTAGTCGATGAAGCCGACCTGGGGGAGCAGCACAGCTGGGTCAGGGGACTGGGCCAGGCAGCTGCAGTGTGCCCGCCCGCCTCTCCCAGCCCCACAGATCCCTGCGCTCAGGTCAGTGCCTGCAAAAGCCACCCATGTCTCCAGCTCCTGGACACCCCAGTGCAGCCCTGACCCTGGATATCTGCCAGGCATAGGGGCTCCAGCTGTATGCAGGGCACAGCTGATGGGAGCTCGCGTGCACAACTGGACCGAACCAGGAGCACAGACATCCCCGGGGCAAAGCCAGGCAGGAGTTGGCTCCGCAGTGCAGGAGGGGACGTGCAGCCTCCACGCCCCGTGGGCACAGCGTGCAGCGAGGGGTCACTGCCGCCCTGGGCCAGCAAGGACCAGGCCTGGGGAGCCCTGCTCTCTGCCTGGCAGCTCCTGCGCTGGCTGGGGTGCCCCACTGCCCTGCCCTGCCCAGCCCCTCATGGCCTGCTCCAGCCCCCCGTGGATCCTGCGGGCAGCAGGGGCCCCGCACACACCTGGGACTTCTCCACGGAGGCCGTGTGCTTGTCGCACATGGGGCTGATCTCCATGCCCTTCTCCCGCTCCCGGTCGCCCTGGTGGAAGAACTCCACCATGATGCGGTCCGTCCACTGCCGGTACAGCTCCAGCGGCTTTGTGGGGTTGCTCAGGTCTGCGCAGTGCACCATGTTCTGCAGCACCTGGGCACAGAGGTGTGGCTGTACAGGGACTGGCCCAGAGGTGCCCTCGCCCTGCACCCTTTCCCCCTCCTAAGGCTGGCCAGGCCCAGTGCTGGGTGGCAGCAAGGGCCGTGCACCCACAGGCTGGAGCAGCAGAGCTCTGGGCAGCCACAAAGCCACCCTGCCTGCCTAGGGGGCTGGCTCGGGCTGGGCTCAGGTGCCACTGTCTGCCCCCAGCTCCGTCTAGTGAAGCTCCACAGTGCCAGCGCTGGCCCTGAGAGGTGCCCCACCAAGGAGGGCCAGCCCTGCCCAGCCCTTGCTGCCAGCCACACCACCCACCTGGATGCGGTCCGAGTAGTTGTCTAGCAGCAGGACGCCCAGGCTGGTCACCTTCTTGGTCTCCACCATGGTCTTCAGATCTGCCAGCAGGTTCATGTGCTTGGACATGTCTGTGGCCAGCACCTGGGTGGGCACAGGGGAGCCACAGCTCAGTGCCATGCACCAAGGGGCCGGTGTAGCCAGGGAATCACCCGCCCCACGCACACCGTGTCCTCTTCCAAGGGCTGCCCATGCAGCTCCCACCACTGCAGTGCTTGGGACAACACTCGTTTGACCCCTAAGGCCGCCATGCCCTGGCATGAGCGGGGAGACAGGGGTGGCAGCAGGGTCAGGGCCATCGTTCCCCCTCCACCCCAGGGATACAGCACCTTGGACACGAGTGCAGCGCCTGTAGCTGCCGCATCCACCGGCCAGGCTGTTACTGCCAATGCGCCGGGGTCTGGGGCTGCCCTTCAGCCCTGCTCTGCGCTATCTCTGCGTGGCCCTGTTACTAACTCTGCTGTGCCAGTGGTGTGCCAGTGATGGCAGGGAGGCCTGGGGCGAAGGGCGGCAGCCAGGAGGGGTGCGGGCCATGTGAGCAGCTCAGGCCGGCCCCTCACCATGTCGATGGCCATCTTGCGCAGCGACTGCCGCTGCTTCTTGCTGAGGTTCTGGAAGATGTCGCAGTTCTCCTCCTGCAGCAGCTTGAAGCCCACGGCCAGGTGGTGGTTCTCCAGGACGGAGGCATCGTTGTACATCAGCGCCAGCTCTGAGTCTGAGGACACGGGGCGGGTGAGCACAGGGGCCACAGCCTGTGGCTGCCGTGGGGGGCGACCGGGTCCTGGAAGCCACAGGACCTGCAGCATGAAGCGCGACAGGACCAGGCCACGGGAGCCACGTGCCTGCAGCTCCTTGGGGCTGCAGCTGGTCCAGGGGTATCACTTGCCTGGCAGGAGGTTGGCACATTCATGCTGGCAGGGCTCGCACAGGGCCCCAGCAGCTGCAGCCCCCAGGCACCCCCAACACAGAACAGAGCGGCCAAGCCCCTCGTGGCACCCTGCTGTGGGGACCCCCCTGGGCAGCGTCTCCGCTCGCCCTGGAATGAACCCTGGCAGTGCCAGGGCTTGGCATGGTACGAGGGGCAAGCCCCGAGGGGCAGACATGCCAGACTCACTGGTGTTGATGAGGAACTGGTTGGAAACGCCTGGGTGGTCGACGTCGTGGATGGCGCTGGCGAAGATGGCAGCCATGATCTCCAGGTCCGTGAACACCGCCTGGAGTGGAGGGGCCTGTTCCCTTAGGGGCACGAGGCAGTACAGGGGCCATGTGGGGCCTGGCACTGAGCCCCAGGGGTCCGAGCGCCACCAGCACCACTGCTGTCCCCAGGCCCCCGTGTGCCCTAGGGCCACTGCCCACTGGGGGCGTGGAGCGGGCCTGGCCACAGCCATGGGGGGGACATCACACGTCCCCTCCATGGGGCCCCACCACCCCAAGCGGCTGCCCCTGGGCCCTCACCTCCAGCGCCGGCGTGGACAGCAGCACATGGGTGGACTGGGCCACGTCAGCAGCGTGGATGTTGTTGTGATAGGCCACGTCGGCGTGGTAATGGTCCTCCAGGGTCATCATGTAGGTGATGAAGGTGTCGGGCGGGATGCGGAAGGTCTTCATCAGGTCTCGCTCCTGCCGGGGGAAGGTGCTTTAGTGGGATTTGGCAGGGTGGGAGCACGCTCCCCCCCACGCTGTTAACATGCCCCATTAGCCGACCATGGGGCTGTAACGTGGGAGCCGGTGCCAGGCCGGGGCCACCCAGCATCTCTGCAGGCCCAGGGAGATTGTGGTTGTTGCTCGGCGGAGGAGGGGGCTGCCGGGCACGGGAGCCATGGGGCACCTGCAGGGCCCTGGCGCGGTGCCTGCGGTGGGCCGGCGGGCTCACCTGGAAGATGGTGTACATGATGACCGTGAGCGGGCGGTTCCCCGAGTACTCGGCCACTTTGAACATGTCAAGGCCCCACTTGTTCGCGTCTTCGAGTTCCTGGAGGACACGGAGGCAGCAGATGAGCCGGGGCCAGGGGGCTCTGGGGAGGGTAGTGGGGGCCTGGGCACGTGGCTGTGCTCCTGGCCACCCATCTGAAGCCACAGCCCTCGGGCATCTCTGCAGCAGCCACTGCCCCGGCAGCGAGGGGGTCCACGCTGGGCGCGGGGCGCGGGCACTGGGCCCCACTCACCTTGGCCAGGGGCCCCTCCTGGTCGGTCTTGACGCCGAAGCGTGGGATGCTGGCGCTGCTGAGGCTGGAGCTGTGCATGAGCTTCTTCACACCGCTGATCTGCGACATGGGGCGCTGCGCCTGCTCCTTGTCCTCCTTGGGCGGCGGGGAGGGAATCTCCACCTCATGCTGGTTGTCTGTGGGAGAGAAGGTGCGGCGGTGAGTGGGGGGCTGGGGCATGGCGCTGGTGGCCTGGGCCTGGGCGTTCGGAGCTCTGCCCGGCCCCGCGGAGTGGACGCTGGCCCCAGGTCAGAGCGTGGAGCCCAGCGGGTCTGAGCGCAGGTGGTGCTCCGGGCTCTGAGCCGTGTGCTGAGCGGCCAGTGCAGAGCGGACACCCGGGTGAAGCCTGCAGGCTGCCAACCTTGTGCAGAGGCATCCGGGCCATGGCTCGCCCGGCCTGGCGATGTGCAGCAGGGGATAGCCAGGGGCTGGCTGCGGGGACAGGGCCATGCAGCCAAGTTGCGGCACGTACCAGCCCCGCCGCCCCGGCCGGGGAGGCCCTGTGCCTGCCCAGCCAACCGCCCTCCCACCGCCAGCGTCCTGCGGAGCTGCGGCCCCGAGCGCGGCCGCCCCCCGCGCAGCCCCGCTCGCCCCCCAGCACCAGCAGACACCGGGAATTGACGTCAGAGGAGGCTAATAATATTCCCGCTGCCATGGCAACGGGAGGCGACGTGTGGAGGAATGCTGGTGCTTCCCTGACACGGATGCTTCAAGGGCCGGATCCCTCCGACCCCGAGGCCCGGGTGCCCGTCCCGTGCGAGCCGACACTGGGCACAGTGGAGCCCAGGGCAGCGCAGCTGGGAGAGCCGGTTACTCGCGGCCTGCCAGCTCCTGCGACCTGGCCCGTGCAGTCTGACAGGCTCTGCAGGCACCCTGCGGGGGCGGGTGCTGGGGGAAGCCCTTGGTAGAGACGGAGGGAGGCTGGCATCTTGGCTGTGGGATGTGTCCTGCCCTGGGCAAGTCCCTGCCTTGCTGTGCCTCAGCTTCGCTCTCTGTACAATGGGGTTATCGCCCTGGCCTTCCCCTGGGTCTGGCTGCTGCTGGCTGCAAGCTCAGAGGTTCATCCCTCTCTGTGCCCCCTTCCTTCTCCCCGGGAGCAGCTGAGATCCGCCCTTGCTCACCAGCCCTTGCTCACACCTGCAGCCCAGCCTGGCACAGGGGCGACTGCCGCTATCCGCTGCCCTGGCCTCTCTCCCTCCGTCTCACCCCTACCTGGTCCCATAGCTCCTGGCCTGGCTGGCCCAGGACCTGCCCTGCTGAAGGTCACTGCTCCTGGCTGCCTCAATGCCCCAAGCCAGAGCCAGCCCTGGGCATGTCCCTGACCTGGGCACTTTGCAGACATGCGGGTCTAGCTGCCTCGCCTGAAGGACCAGAATACAGCAGGTGGGCATGGGTGGGCAGGGAGCCAGGGCTGGGGGGTGACGTGCAGCACAACACGTGCCAGGGGCCTTGCTCACAGCCTGACAGCGGGGCCCGGTGCCTGCAGGGCATGGGGCTGCACTAGTCCGGCCCCCGGGGCAGCGCTGCATGAACATGGCCTGGGGTGCAGCTGCACTGGGCACCCGCTCACCCAGGAAGGTGCTGGAGATGTACTCGGAGACCTGGTTCCCTGAGCGGCTGGTTTCTGACAGGTGCGTCAGCTCCCGATTCAGCATCCTCTTGAACTGCAGGGACGAGCAAAGGGCCGTCACAGGACCCGCACCTGGTGCCCCATCCCCATCCCCGTCCCCCTCCCTGGCAAGCAGAGCTCGGGCTAGCCTCCAAGGGCTGCAGGCTCTCAGTGTGGAGCGGGCAGGTGCCCGCACTACCCGCCCCCCAGGGCCCGTCCCCGCTGCAGGGAGCAGGGCCGGCACCCCCGGGTGCCCGCAGAGGCCTGGCTGTGGCGGGCAGGGAGGGGGCAGCGCCCGGGCCGGGGGGAGAGGGGGAGCGCACGGCTCCAGGGGCACGTCTGCCCGGACCTGCCCCGGGGGAGGTGCGGCC